TCTCTACATATATTCAGATTGAATACCAACATATATTCTGCAAATTAAAATCCTGTAGAGAACAACCACAAAGCCTTCTGCAATGCTTTGATACTCTCCATGCTATGGTTTACAAATTAGGCACATACCCCATATATTAGTGCATTTCTGCAAGTGACAATGCAAACAATTCTTATAATACTGAATCTGCACAGTAGAACCATAGAATCACAGAACGTGATGAGTTGGAAGGGACCCTGCACAGGACACCCCAAGAGTTACACCATGTGCCTGAGAATGTTGTCCAAATGCTCCTTGAACTCAGACAGCCTGGGTGCTGTGACCACTTCTATGGGGAGCCTGTTCCAGTGCTCAATCACCCTCTGGGTGAATTATATCCAACCTAAATCTGCCATGACTCAGCTTCATCCTGTTTCCTCAAGTCCTGTCACTGGTCATGAGGGTGAAGAGATCGGCACCTGCCCGTCTGCTTCTCCTCGTGAGGAAGTTGTAACTGCAGTGAGGTCTCCCCTCATCTCCCCTGGCTGAACAGACCAAGTGCCCTCAGCTGCTCATCATAAGGCTTCCCCTCCAGACCCCTCACCATCCTCATTGCCCTTCTTTGGACACTCTCTAACAGCTTAATATCTTTTTTATGTTGTGATGCCCAAAACTGCACACAGGACTTGAGGTGAGGCCTCCCCAGAGCAGAGCAGAGCAGAGCAGGACAATCCCCTCCCTCAACCGGCTGGTGATGCTTTGCCTGATGCCTCCCAGGACAGGGTTGGCCCTCCTGGCTGCCAGGGCACTGCTGACTCATATTCAGCTTGCCATCGACCAGGACCCCCAGGTCCCTTTTCGTGGCACTGCTTTCCATCTCATTCCCCAGTCTGTCTGTACATCCAGGGTTGCCCAATCCCAGGTGCAGAATCCAGCACTTTTCCTTCTTGAACTTCCTATGGTTGGTTATTGTCCACTCCTCTAATTTGTCAAGGTCTCTCTGCAGGGTCTCCCTGCCTTCGTGAGAGTCAACAGCTCCTCCCAGTTTAGTGTCCTCTGCAAACTTGCTCAGTATCCCTTCCAGTCCTGTGCCCAAGTCCTTTATGAAGATGTTGAAGAGCACAGGGCCCAAGATGGAGTCCTGTGGAACCCCACTAGTGACAGGTCACCAGTCTGATGTCACCCCATTCACTATTACCCTCTGTGCTCGACCCGTGAGCCAGTTGCTCACCCACCACATGATGTGTTTATCCAGCTGTGGGCTGGACATTTTGGCCAGAAAGATCTTGTGAGAGAGTATCAAAAGCTTTGCTGAAGTCCAAAAAGATTATATTGACTGGGTTTCCTAGATCACTTAGGTGGATTACCTTATAAAAGGAAACCAGGCACAACAAGCAGGACTTCCCCCTCATGAAGCTGTGCAGGCTGTGACCCATGACTGCATTGTCCTCCAGGTGTTTTTCAATACCTCCCAGAATAATCTTTTCCATTATTTTACCAGGCACTGAAGTGAGACTGACAGGCCTGTGGTTTCTGGGGTCCTGCTTCTTGCCTTTCTTGAAATTCAGAACAACTTGAGTTGAGTATGAACAGGTTTGCCATCAAGAATATTCTGCTTCAGTACAAGTGCCAAAAAAAAAGTTTAAATGAAAAAATATAGGTGTATTTTTTAGTTTGGATTTTGTTGTTTGCTTGTTTTTTCCCCCACGCCTTTCTTTCTACAATACAGCTCTCCTTGAAACAGGCTTCTATCACAGGAAAAACTAGGAGTACATTTGGTTAAATGTGTGTGCCAACTGCTTCATTCATGGGGTAGGTCAGGACAGCTTTGGAGAGAATTAGGCTCGCTTGAAAAGGCAGGCAGAAAAACTGTTTGGAAAGTAAGAAGGTGCAGGAGGTCATTATGTTGGAGAAATTAATGGGGAGCAAACCAGGGTGTGAATTTTCAGTGAATTACTTTGCAGTACTTATCCTCTACATGGATGTTTTGGATCACATTATATGCATGTGTACACCACATTATTAGGGCACTCTGCATAAAACCCAGCCTAGCCAGATCCACAACCAGCATGAGAATGAGATGCAGGATGAACTGGGGATGGTACAGTGCCACACTGCCACAGCTACCCTGTCATCAGCACTGTCTGGCATCCCCACCCAGCAGGGCTCAGCTTTGTCATCACTGCAACGCGACCTACTACATGGATAAGTTGCAGTGATTCCAGCTTGGCAACAGTAAGGAAAAACTTCTGTCCCACATTTTGCGGGTTGTTTTGGTAGACAATGCAGCCTGTCCAGGTTGTGAGCTATGCCATATGTGCAGCCAGAGGTATCCCTCTTCCTCTCAGCCAGATGCTGCATCTGTGGAAGCAATTCCTGTTCCTGTGCCACACAGTCAGCAACGCAGAGGGTTCCTCATGACACTTTACAGACATCCCTTCTCCAAATAACCAGTGGCAGTGCACTCAAGTTGGAATTACCCATAGATTCTGCAAGTTCAGACTTGCAGAAACAAATCCAGAACTACCACTATGCCAATTGCAAACCACCTTATTTGAATTAAAGCATCACTGGTGTTCAGAGCAAGTGGAAGAAAACATGGGGAAAATACAAAGGGAAGGTGGAATTTGTACTAGTCACTCAGGTGACTGATGGATGCAAGGTGATACCAAAAGTGGTAGCTATTAAATTCCATTTGCTGATTTTCTGGTTTTCCTTTTTTTTTTGTGTGTGTGAAGTCAAGGGGACAGATTGAAAAAAAAAATCTTTATCTAAATTTGTTACTGAATAATCATATAAACAATTGGGCTGCTACATTCGCAGACATGAATAATGGTGTCTTCCATGCCAACAAGTAAAGGAATTTAAGAAGAAGGTGAGATGTATGAACTAGAAGGCATTTCACAATCTTTTTTGTCCTCTGCACTACAGTTCACTGCCTTCATCAACTGTACTCATGCAGCAGGTCCCTGAGGCTGACAAAGTGTGGCACACATGAAGGGAAGCTACGAGCAGCCGAGCACAGAAACTTCTTCGGCTCCTACCTGCCAAAGTCAATGTGACTTATGGAATAGCATAGGTGTTAAAAAAATGCAGGTTTCAGTCATAAAAAACCAGTCACAGCTTTAAGAAAACAGTGATCATTCTCTGTTATTCCCTTACCGACCAAATGTTGGGGGATTTTCTGTTGTTATGGAAATAAGTATTTTACAGTATGCTTTAAAATAAACCAAAAAAGGTGATACTTTAGTCTGTCAATAGGTACCTACCATGTTTTTCAGCTTTTCCATTCTGTCCTCTTCCCCCTGCCTCCAAAAAAAAAAATTATTACGTGTGTGTGTGTATAGATATATATACACATAAATTCTCCTTAGTTTTCATTTAACAGGGTAATGGTGTTGGAATGCTTATGCTGGAAACACTGCACAAGAATATTCTCCCATTCAATGCAAAACAAAATCTTTGCTTTCCCTTCCATTTTTAAGATCTGCAAGTATTTTTACTACTTTTTACTCCAAAAATGTTCATTTCAGTGACATTAATTGCTTTAAATCTCGTTGACTTTGCTGTTTCCTCTGTGCCCCTTGTCACCTCCTTTCAAACTGGATTCCACGAATTTCAATGGAGTTCTGCATAATTCTGTTCTTGCAGATTTACATGTGAGGTCCAAGCTCTTGCAGCAATACGATTATTGTTACATGCAGGAAAGTGCCATTATATAAAAATTCTGTATATCTAAAATACCTGTCACAGTTACATTCACCTTTATTCAACATGGATGTGCTCAGAACTTACTTTCAGGTAGTTTATTCAAGACTTTCCGTAACGCAATCCGCTAAGTAAACTGTCCTTAATGCTTACGGGTCTGAGATGGGGAAATCTACCTTGAACAAACTTCATCCCAGATAAGATGCAACATAAGAACTCCTGTATGACAGCCCCCCTTAGGCCTTACATAACCCTCGTGACATTGTGGCACACTGTGTCGAAAGCATCAGGAATGAGGATGTTTTTGGGAAGCTGGAAGTTCTGCAGTATCATCTGTCCAGACTTGCCATGTGTGTGGCTCAGGAGTTACTACATGTATCACTTTCTCCCAGGCATCTGAACTGTGAGTCATACAAACCGAAAGCGGAAGGCAAGTGTGTGAACAAAGCAGATGTAGCTGTTTATGGGGTTTCTCGTCACCTTTACTTAGCCCTTGTTTTTTCTGTATGGCCCCTCCCAGGGCAACTAAGTTTGATCCTTTCGCAAGTCGGGGGAGCTGCCACCTCAGCGACCACCTGGGATGGAGACCTGGCTGTTAAAGGATGAAACCTCTCGTGGGTGACTCTCTGGAAGTCTCCATGATTTAAACTTCCACCTACAGCTGGAAGCCTGGCCACCTTTGTTTTGTTTGACTGAGAGGAGCAGGAACATCCCACCAGCGGTGTGCTTAGCATGAGAGACACACAAAAATGTCTCTCCGGAGCTCTGGTTGTCCAGGGGCCGCCTGCAGCCGCGGACAGGCCAGTTCACAGCTGAAAAGCACATGCAGAGGGAGAAATAGTTTCCAACCCCAGAAAGCAAACCTGAAACTAGATCCGTGCAGACGGGCTCCTGGAGCTCACATGGCAACCCTCCTTCTCCGGGTCTGATTGCAAGCTCGAGGCTACAGTCTGTTATCAGCTTATTTCTTTTACCTCCAACAAAACCTGAAATGTGGTCTGTCTGAGGGGGAAACTGGGGAAAATCAATTTATTAAATAAAAAAACAAACCCCAAACAAACCAAAACGTTACGAGGCTACATAAACAGTAAACTACCGTTGTGTGGACGTGACAGAAGCGGCTACAGCTCGCACCGCAGGCCCCGAGCGCTGGGGCTGTGTGAGGGGCTGCAGCTCGGTAGCGAACAGCGCAGGGGAGCAGCGGCCAACCGGCCGCCATGGAGCGCTTACGCCACTTGCGCAGGTACCGCGGAGCTGCCTGGCGGCCCCACCGGCCCCCAGCGTAGCGGCCTTCGTGAATACCGGTGCTGCACTGCGGCGGCGGCGCGGCGCAACCAAACCCCCGCTCCCCCCCGCCCACCCCGGCCCTGGCACCGCCCCCCGCCTCGGCTGTGATTGGCAGGGCGGGCGGAGCGCTCGGCGGCGATTGGCGGGTCCCGGCCGGAGGTGGGGTAGGTTGCGTGAAGGGTGATAAAGTTAGTGGGGCTGCCGGGGAGCGTCCGAGACGCGGCGGCGGCGGTCGGCGCTCTATGGAGGTGGCGGGGGGAGGCGTCGGGCCGGTGCTGCTCTTGCTGTGGTGATTCGGAGACTCGCCCTGTCCCGCGCGTTCCCCCCTTCCCCTCCCCAGCCCCGGTCCCCGGCTCCCTTCCCCTCCCCCCCCTTCTCTTGCCTTTTCCCCTGCCCTTGGTAGCCGCCGGGACCCGGGGAAGCTGACAAGGCCTTAGGGAAGGTGAGAAACGCGTGAAGTGGTGAGAGGAACGCGGGTCTGGGACCGGGAGGGAGCGGGGAATGCTGCAGCTGCAGCCTAAAATGGCGGCTGCCCGGCGTGGCCGCCATTTTCTCACCGGCTGCTTCTCTGTGGCTCCCGCACAAAATGGCGGCCCGAGCCGGGGGACGCTCCCGCTGCCGGCTTTGGTAGTGCTGCTGCCGGCTTGGGGGGTCCCGCCGCTGCTGAGGGAAGGGCTGCAGGAGCTGTGCAGCCCCCACCGGGCGCGCAGGGGACGCTTGAGCAGCAGTGTTAGAGGTTAGAGCGAGGGAGATGGGGTCGGGTGGTGCTGGTCCGTAGGGACGGTCCCTTTCGAGGATCGGCTCAGTTTGCACAGTTGCAGGATGGTGGTCTGGCTGCGCGCTGTGGGCACCCACGCTGCCCCACTAGCTCCCCTTCCAGGGAGTAGCCTCGGTTCACGTAGCAGGCTGCGGATCCTTAGGGATCCGCATTACCAGGAAAACGTGGCGAGAGGATTTTCTAATGTATGGGGGGCTTTTTATTGTTTATTCTTTTCTCTTGGCTCCTCGTGGGAGGGAAGAGCGGGCGCTGCCGAGGCGCCGCGTCAGCCGGGCAGCAGCCTCGCCCACGTTTCCTGTTGCGGGGGTGGCGGTGCAGGGCGATACCGGCAGCTTCCCGCGGGCGGACCGGAGGGGGCCGCCTCCGTTTGGCGGCGGCTGCGGAGCGGATCCCTCCCGGAGAACAAAGAGCGGGGAGCGGGCGGCGCCCGCCGGGCGGGGCGGGGCGGGGGGCGGCGGTGCCGAGCGGTACCTGCGGGGGGCGCCCTGCGCGCCCTCAGCCCATTGTTCGCCGCCGCCGCCATGTTGTGTCCGCTCCTCGTGCCCGCGCCGGGCGGGCGGCGGAGCCTCGGGGGGTGCCCGGCGCTGTGAGGGGCTTTGTGCGTTCCCCCTCCCCTCCCCCCGGTCGTTTCTGTCCCCGTGGTTAGTTTCCTGCTACGTGAGCGGTGCAGCGAGATTTTTTTTTTTCTTAGTGCAAGCTAAAATTTGACGGGGGGTTGGAGGGGGGTGGGCGGTACCTTTTTTCGTTATTTTGCACCTTAGTAGGCAGTTTAGACGCAGATTACATCCCTTTTACTGCGTTAAGTAGTGCGTTCTGTGGTCTGGTGCTTATCACTTCAAAACTTGGTTACTTTGTGTTACTATAATTAATCATAGTTTATAAGCCATGTTAATAAAGGATTAGTTATGCTGTGTTAAAAAAACCGTACATGTTATTTTCTGCAAGTGCTTTTCAGAGTGGACTGGGTAAATAAATATGAGGCTCTTCCTGTTTTAGTCTGTGATTCCCTTATGTCTGTTCCCTGACCCCCGTTGGAAAACGTGGCTGTAATGGTGAAATTGGCCTTTCTGTGATCACTCCCAAGTATCAGGATTATCCCAAGTATTATAAATAAGATTTTTCGTACCTTTTGTGAAGCTCAGTGTTTTAGAGGTTCTCGTTCTTAAGCAAAATTTGTACTTTTATTGTAAGTTAGACACTGTGGCTGATAGTAAAACAACTATAATATGAATGCTTGGTTTGTCTTTCTAGGTTTTGTTTTTCCCCACCCCGTCAATTTAATTTTATTCTTTTGAAGATTCTTCGTTGTCAAGCCGCCAAAGTGGAGAGTGCGATTGCAGAAGGGGGTGCTTCTCGTTTCAGGTACTAATGCCTTTTGTTTGATGAACAGTTGGCAGTGAAAACTGTCCTTTGAGAATTGAAATTCTTAGGATGTTTATACCAAAACTGAGATGTAATTGAAAGCATGGAGTTTTTGAACTTAGCAAGGATTATGTTTTTTGTTTTTTAACAGTGCTTCTTCAGGCGGAGGAGGTGGTAGGGGTGCACCTCAGCACTATCCCAAGACTGCCAGCAACAGGTATGTCATCTTGGTCTCTAATTTGGCGTGATTTGAAGGCAGAGCATGCTTGATGGTGAATTCAGAACTGAAAATAGTGCAGCTTTAGAGTTGCAAGAGGGACACCTACTGAGTTGATAACCTTATGATGTTCTGCAGTCTGTGTCTGTTAAAAGTGTGCATTCTGGGTAATAGGTGCACAAACTTGCTTGCTCATGCCTTTTACTTAAAAAGTTTAGAGGGTTTCCTCTGGGGTATGGGGTTTTATTGTTGAGTGAGTACTTTGCTGTGCAGCAGATGCTGCTGTGTTGGCAGGGCCAAGTGCATGCTTTTAACAAAGCAAGCAGCAGAGTTGGTCTGAGTAAGGCAATACTGAAAGGTTAAAAAGCCAATTTTTTAAGTCATTTGTTTAAATCATATTCTTCAAAATTCTACAGCGAGTTCCTGGGGAAAAACCCAGGGCAAAACGCTCAGAAATGGATTCCTTCACGAAGCACTAGACGAGATGACGACTCCGCAAACGACAAAGAACGACATGATGCAATCTTCAGGAAAGTAAGAGGGTAAGTTCTTCACAGGATTACTTCTTTCTTTCCTTACTGCTTTTGTTAGCAATGTGTATCTAATAAATGGGCTGGAGGAAAGGAACTCACGTGGGTTGAGTTTGGGAGAGGTGAGTCCTTTAGAGAAGACAAATTGATCATCTAGCAGCAGCAAACACTTGAACCCTTTAGAGTAATTCTTCTAAGAGGACTGGAATTTTCAAAAGTACATTATCTAAACATCTTCCAAAAAATAGTTGAAACAAAAATTGCACTTCTTTATTTTTAGTAGGCTTAAAAAGTAAAGATAAATGTGACTCTGAAATGACCTGTAGCATGCTTACAATATCTGTATTCTTGTTTTTGTTTGTTCCTCTTTAGCATACTAAATAAGCTTACTCCTGAAAAGTTTGACAAGCTATGCCTTGAGCTCCTCAATGTGGGTGTAGAATCTAAGCTCATCCTAAAAGGGGTCATACTGCTGGTAAGATGGCTGCATTTCTTTAAACTACATTTTTCTTGCATGTTAAAAGTCAGAAGGCTGGTTGGTTTTGGTGGGATACAGAAGTAGTATGTCTAATGCATGTGTGTATTTGGATTATCAAACACCACCTCACACCTGCTTTCTGTGTGAGAAGGGTGTACTAAGGAGGAAGTAGGTTTAATGCTTAACTTGTTTAGAAGTTTCAAGAATCACTAGATGTGATTGGGGATTCTATGACAGGCTTTTTAAAAATGTGAGATGCTAGTTAGCAGTCCTGTTTCTGTGCCCCTTCACTGCCCCCTGCCCTTCCTGTTTTCCTGAGGAGCAGGCCTTTTGGTCTTGGAAAGGCTTCTGCAGGTGACTTTTTGGGACACTGATGTAGGTGTTATGTTGCTTTGTTTAATCTGAGATCAGATTGGCAATGCTAACATAGGTGTTGTGATGATCAGTTTTGTTGACCAAGGATTATCGAGGCTCTTGAATAGCATAGAAGAGCTTTTTCCCTTCACTTCAGACTAGCGTTAAACTACATTAATTCTGTGCTTCATTTAGTAAAAAATAGTTCTGGATCACAGTGGTAGTAATGCCTTCTGTCTTCCATCTCGCTTTCCTAATAACATTTGCATCCTCCTACATGCTGCCTTACTGCAAATCCATCTGTTCAGATCGTAGACAAAGCCCTTGAAGAGCCCAAGTATAGCTCGCTGTACGCTCAACTATGTCTGCGACTGGCAGAAGATGCACCCAACTTTGATGGCCCATCAGCAGAGAGTCATCCAGGACAGAAGCAAAGCACAGTGAGTGTATCTGTCAATCTGGAATGATAACTCTTGCTAGGATGTGCAGTTGCACAGATTAGCTTAATTGTTTTCTTTGTTCTCTTTTTTTAGACATTCAGACGCCTCCTAATATCTAAACTTCAAGATGAATTTGAAAACCGAACCAGAAATGTTGATAGTAAGTTTTAAAACCACTTTAATACAGCATTTGTCTTTTCCCACAGCCACACTAAACAGGCTTCTTTGTTTTCCAGTCTATGATAAGCATGATGGTCCCCTCCTCCCCGAGGAGGAGGAACAGAGAGCCATTGCCAAGATCAAGATGCTGGGGAACATCAAATTCATTGGAGAACTTGGCAAGCTTGATCTTATTCATGAATCTATCCTTCATAAGTGCATCAAAACAGTGAGTATCCAGATTGGGGCAGGGCCAGGAGTGAAATAGGACTTAAAAAAAAATTGTTATGCTGCTTTGGGAATGTTGAAGCATAAAATAACATGTAAATGTTTCCTGACAATCACCTGCCCCCCACTGTTTAAAATGATCAGTCTTTTGGCATGATTAAGAAGTAAAATTGGCTTTGTTCAAAGCCATGGGAATTGTCTCCAAGAGAAGATGTAGTTTGGCCCAGAGAGAAATACCACAGGTACTTAAAAGTACATACACTTAGGAGTAATAAATACTTGAATTAGCAGTTCTTAAAGTTATTGTCAAGTCCATTTGCCTTTAGAACAAGATAAAATGTTTCTGTATTTGCCAGTGTACTAAGTTTGTTGCTTATGAATTGTTAATATGCCTAATTCCTCTTTCAGCTTTTGGAAAAGAAGAAGAGAGTCCAACTCAAAGATATGGGGGAGGATTTGGAGTGCCTCTGTCAGATAATGAGGACAGTGGGGCCTAGATTAGATCATGCGAAAGCCAAGGTATGTGCCTATCCCTTGCAGTCACTGACCTAATTAAATTATGTGGCCAGGACTTTGATTGGCTGAACCTTCTGTATACAGTATTCATAAGTACAGAACTGAGGTTTGACTTTCAGAGAGGAGTGCCAGCTATGGCTCCTGCATCAGGAGATAGCAAAAGCAGTTCATCTTTGGAATGGTTTTTAACGTCTTCCTGGGATGTAGTTAGGGCCATCAGGAAGTCAGAAATGCAAGACTGTTGTTTCTCTAAACATGGCTTGAAATAATGTCATGAACTATTCTGAACACAGCTGATTTGACAGATGAGTTCTGAATGTAAACTTGAAATGATGTCAGAGTAATGAGGATTTGGGCTGTGTTATTTATCTCTGACTCAGATGTCCTGATGCATTAGCTTGCTTTAAACTGGACTGCCATCAAGGAGATAGAGATGGCAGGAAAGGGCAACCTTTTCTATTATTTGATCTTGGGTGTCTTGAATGAAAATACTCAAGACACTGACAGAATTACTCCAACTTGTAATTTTGTTCCCCCAGTCCTTAATGGATCAGTACTTTGCCCGTATGCGCTCCTTGATGTCAAGTAAGGAATTGCCAGCAAGGATTCGTTTCCTGCTGCAGGTATGATGGTGAAATGGGTTGTACTGCTGCTTTTTTCTTGTGAAGTTGTCTTGAATCGTTTCCTTATAATCTTTTATGTTCCAAGGATACTGTGGAGTTGAGAGAACACAACTGGGTTCCTCGCAAAGCTTTTCTTGACAATGGACCAAAGACTATCAATCAAATCCGTCAAGATGCAGTAAAAGTAAGTGTTGCATGTGAGGTCTCGTGCTTGGCTTTGCTCTGTGTCCCAAAACCTACACTGCACTTGTGAGTAGTTCTCATAGAGTGTGACAGTCGGCTTAAGGGTTAAAATCAGATGTATTTCTGTAGTTGAGGGCTAAAAACTTTAACTTTTTGAGGGACTGTGAGTCCATACTAATAAAAATTTACAATTCCTGTTTTAAAGGATCTGGGAGTTTTTATTCCTGCTCCTATGTCTCAAGGGATGAGAAGCGACTTCTTTCTGGAGGGACCCTTTATGCCACCCAGGATGAAACTTGACAGGGACCCACTCGGAGGGCTTGCTGATATGTTTGGACAAATGCCAGGTAGGCTGGAACTGCAAACCTGGTGGGGGTGGCTGTGGCTGTGCTGTACTGAACAAGAACTAAAGCTGTCGTTGGTCTCGTCCAGGTAGCGGAATTGGTACTGGTCCAGGGGTTATTCAGGATAGATTTTCACCCACCATGGGACGCCATCGTACAAACCAACTTTTCAATGGCCATGGGGGTCACCTCATGCCTTCTGCTCAATCCCAGTTTGGAGACCTAGGCAAATCTTTTCTGAAAAGTCAGGTAAGGAAGATATTCACACAGTGACTTCAGCTTGTTTAGGAGCTCTTCCTCAGATGCGTATGTTACGGATTATAGTCTGCTAATGTTAAAAGACTTATTCAGATTTGATTCTCATAAGAACTGATGCTCAGCTGATACAAAAATTCTAAACGACTTTTTAAATTGTGCAGAAGATGAAAGCAATACACTTTTTTTGTTGTTTTTGGGGTTTTTTTAACTGCAAGAAAAGGTGCATGTGGCTTTGGTGGGTCAGAATGGTGTGTTTTATTTAAAAGATAGCCCTGTTTTTAGGGATAGTTGCTACTCTCCCACCACCCCTGCTCCTTCTTTCTCCCTTCCTGGCAAATAGAATCTTTGTTCTCTGGTCCCTGTGGTACTACTTACCATATGATGTACGCCACTCCATCATCTGCACTTCTTTCTCTATATCTCCCTTTCTGAAATAGGGGCAAAGCCAGCTCTACCATACCCAGAATCAGGGACTCTTATCCCAGCAACAAGGACAGTCGAAGGATATGCCACCTCGGTTTTCTAAGAAAGGACAGCTTAATGCAGATGAGGTACATGACATGCCTACATTACTTAAAGCCTATTCTAAGTATTGCCCAATGATTATAGCAAGACGCGTTATTATGAGGACTAATGCTGGAACTCTTTCTTCTTCTTCTTCTCCTCCTCCTCCTCCTCCTTTGTCCCTTCCTTTTTCACCTTACCCCTCTCACTTTCCTCAGGGTATCCAGCGTCCTATGAGCAAGACTGAGATATGAGGGCAATTTTTTGGGGTGTCCCTTCCTTCCCCCACACTTCCATGAACACTACTCTGACATCAGTTCCCATGCATCATAGTCATAACAATACATTTAATTAAAAGTTCAGAAAATCCTGAACTTCACAAACCCTGAAGTGCTGGACCAGGCTAAATATTTTTTTTGTTTTGTTTAGAACTGGCTAATAGGCAAAATTTCAAATGCAAAGTAAAACTGCATTGTGATTTTGAGTGTTAACCAGACTTGTATCCCGACTTCTGAGCAATTGGCGGACTATTATCTTGGCTGTAAAATACATCAGCAAACATGCTGATTATCTTCTTGGGTCTCTAACATACTGCATCTAAAAGGAGCATTTCCAGTTCTTGATACCAGTGGAACTAAGTACCAGTAACTTGCTTTTGGGGGAATTTCAGGACACATGTGGCTTAATCTGTATTCAGGTATTAACACTGTAGAAACGAAGTCGTGCTTCAGTGAGATCACTTGGTGTGAGTCCACGGCTGTGTTTTGTTGGTCAGAATACTTGAAACAGTTTGAGTTTTTTCTGACTTATCTGTTTACAGATTAGCCTGAGACCTGCTCAGTCTTTTCTAATGAATAAAAACCAAGTGCCAAAGCTTCAGCCCCAGATAACTATGATTCCTCCCAGTGCTCAACCACCACGCACTCAGACACCACCTTTGGGACAGGTAAATACATAAATCAGTGTATGTTGTTGGCTGTACTCTTCATGCTTGCAAAACTTAATTTCTAATGGGGGAAGGGAGAAGCTTTTGATTGCACAGAGCAGGACATACAGAGAGAATGTATGAAAACACAGTGATTTGACTCCCATCTGCCTTCGTATGTTAGATGTTGTTCAGCTTGATATAAGCATAGGTAGATGTGCTGCAAAAAATCAAATTGTGGTATCTTTTTTTCAGCCGCCTCAACTTGGTCTTAAAACAAATCCACCGCTTATACAAGAGAAGCCTGCAAAGACCACCAAGAAACCACCTCCTTCTAAAGAAGAGCTCCTTAAACAAACTGTAAGTTAGTGTGTAATAGTGATTCTTGAAGCCTTGTATGTGCTCTTCACAAAGAATGCTCAACTCTGCCTTTTTCCTTTGCAGGAGGCTGTGGTGACTGAGTATCTGAACAATGGAAATGCTAATGATGCTGTCAATACTGTGAGAGAAATGAGAGCTCCGAAACACTTCATTCCTGAGATGCTGAGCAAAGTAATCATTCAATCCCTAGATAGATCAGATGAAGACAAAGAGAAAGCAAGCACCTTGATCAGCTTGCTCAAGCAGGAGGGAATAGCCACCAGTGACAACTTCATGCAGGTACTGCGGTCTTACAGTCTTGCAGTCCTTGTTTCTTGGCTCTTCGTGGTGGGTGGTGTGTGTAAAGTCAGCGTGCAAATTTTTGATAAGTCACAGTGATCTGGGGAGGTAAAATAATGTTTAATCCTGTGAGGGGCAAATGAAGTGACAAAAGGAAGAAATGTAATATTTGGGGAACCAGAAACTGGGAACCTCTTTGGAAGTGGTTGAACGCAGAAAAGAAACTTGAGGCTCCTGTGTAGTACAGGTATTAATTACTGTCCACAGGTACAAAATTACTTCAGAATTTCAGCTTGTGTGTGTACTGTTTCATAGGCATTCCTGAATGTATTGGACCAGTGCCCCAAACTGGAGGTGGACATCCCATTGGTGAAATCCTACTTAGCACAGTTTGCAGCCCGTGCCATTATTTCAGACCTGGTGAGCATTTCCGAACTGGCTCAACCACTGGAAAGTGGCACCCATTTCCCTCTCTTCCTGCTCTGTCTTCAGCAGTTAGCTAAGTTACAAGACCGTGAATGGCTAACAGAATTGTTCCAACAAAGCAAAGTGAATATGCAGAAAATGTTACCAGGTAAGAGTTGCCACGTAGCTCTTCTGACACCCGATCCTAGTGCATGCGAGATGTTTGCCCTCTAGTTTATGCCAGAGTAAAATAAAATACAGGGTTATCTTGGTGGAGTCACCTGTCCTCGTTGTTGGGAGTGGTGTTTGCTAAGAGATGTTTAGAACCATGAACCACTGAGTGCAGCTCTTGGTCAGCACAAGCCCTTAACCTGTGTGTTTTACTTGTCAGAAATCGACCAGAACAAGGACCGCATGCTGGAGATCTTGGAAGGGAAGGGGCTTAGCTTCTTGTTCCCGCTTCTGAAACTGGAGAAGGAACTGCTAAAGCAAATAAAATCAGATCCATCCCCTCAAGCCATCTACAAGTGGATTAAAGATAACATTTCACCCAAACTTCATGTAGATAAGGGATTTGTGAATATATTGATGACCAGGTGAGATGTTGTTTTGCTGTAGTTTAGACACCTGTTCGGTAAAGCTACTGACAGGTCAGTAACTGTAAAGCCTGACATGTAGCACTGTGTGCAGTGCACAGGGAGAGACAGATGGTTCTAAGTGAACCTCCTCTTAAAATCCCGTTGTATTTGAGAAGAAGAGCAAGTCTCTGAGCTTGCATCCAGGGGAGGTGTTTTCTTTGGGAAGAAGTCTAGACTAGACCTGTGTGTTTGTAGAGTCATAATAGAGGCAAAACAAGGATTCTTGTGGTGTGCTGTCAGCCACAACACAAATCCCTGTGCGTGCACCTGACTACTGGTGCAAGCAGGAGGCTATTGGTAGTAATAGTCAGCTGAACTTGTTGTCTAAGGTGCTCCATTTCCCAGTTTACAGAACTGAGCTTTGCTTTTCTTTGTCCAGTTTCTTGCAGTATATTTCTAGTGAAGTAAACCCACCCAGTGACGAATCAGATTCTTCATCTGCTCCATCTAAAGAGCAGCTAGAGCAGGAAAAACAGCTGCTTCTTTCCTTCAAGCCAGTAATGCAGAAGTTCCTCCATGACCATGTTGATCTGCAAGTGAGTGCTTTATATGCACTCCAGGTGCACTGCTACAACAATAATTTTCCAAAAGGTGGGTGCATCAAGATCTTCCCAGAACTGAACTTGTATCTGTGTATGGCTTTCAGGCTTGTCACTGCATCTGTTGAGAAGGTGATAAAGCTAACAAAGGTTTAATTTACTTCCATAGGCATGTTACTGCGCTTCTTTGTTCATTTCTATGACATGGAGATCATTGAAGAAGAAGCCTTCTTGGCATGGAAAGAAGATATTACTCAAGAGTTTCCAGGGAAAGGCAAAGCTTTATTCCAGGTAAATTTGCTAATATCAGAGTAGAGATTTGGGGTTGTGATCTCTGCTGCACTGGAGTTCTTGAGAACACTTCCAAAGTGTCTAAAAGAGCAACGAGGCTGGTGAAGGGACTTGAGCACAAGTCCTATGAGGAGAGGCTGAGGGAGCTGGGGTTGTTTAGTCTGGAGAAGAGAAGGCTTTAGAGGTGACCTCATCACTCTCTTCAGCTACCTGAAGGGAGGTTATAGCCAGGTGGGGGTTGGTCTCTTCTCCCAGGCAACCAACAATAGGACAAGGGGACATGGGCTCAAGCTCTGCCAGGGGAGGTTTAGGTTAGATGTTAGGAAGAAATTCTTTACAGAGAGGGTTATCAGGCGTTGGAATGGCCTACCCAGAGAGGTGGTGGATTCACCATCCCTGGAGGTTTTTAAAAAGAGATTGGATGTGGCCCTTAGTGCCATGATATAGTAATTGGAGTTGGATCAGGGGTTGGACTTGATGATCTTGGAGGTCTTTTCCAACCCAATCTATTCTATGATTCTATGAAAGTGTCTAGCAGCTTGATGGAGTATTTCGCTGGGGAGGAGTTAAGCAAGATGAACTAAACCTTTTTGATTTATTGGAGGCCTATGAGTAGTGCAAGTGTGGCTGAAAGATTTTAAAAATCAGTTTGGTGGGGGGAGGAAAAGCAGTGTTCTGCAGAAGTAGCTAGTGGGGAAATAATTCCTGCTCCCTTAAACGAGTTTTGTGTAACTGCAGGTAAACCAGTGGTTAACCTGGCTGGAAACTGCTGAAGAAGAAGAATCTGAAGAAGAAGCTGACTAAAGAACCAGCCAAAGCCTTAAATTGTGCAAACATACTGTTGCTATGATGTAACTGCATTTGACCTAACCACTGCGAAAATTCATTCCGCTGTAATGTTTCACAATATTTAAAGCAGAAGTATGTCAGTAGGATATCCTCTGCAAAAGGTTTTTGTAGTATGTCTTAATAGTCTACAATAAAAATATTTTAGAGTATCTTTAATGTTTAGATAACAGTGTATTAGCAGCATGCAATAATTACATCATAAGTTCTCGAGCAGAAGCAGTCTGTTGCAAGGGTCTTCTTTGCTGCCAGTTATCATAGGCTGTTTTTAAGTTAGAAAACTGAATAGCAACACTGAATACTGTAGAAATGCACTTTGCTCAGTGTAATACTTGAGTTGTTGCAATATTTGATTATCCATTTGGTTGTTACAGAGAATCCTTAACTGTAATCGATGGTTGGTTGTTGCCGTAATAGTATATTGCCTGTATTTCTACCTCTAGTAATGGGCTTTATGTGCTAGGTTTTAATATCCTTGAGCCTGGGCAAGTGCACAAGTCTTTTTTTTTAAAAGGAACAGTTTACTTGCACAAAAACTGATCGGCTGAAGAGATGGTTTAATGCCCTTTGGAAGAGGTTTTTGTGGGTGTGAAACATGGCATGGTGAGAAATTTGAATTGGTCCCTCTTATAGTACTGAAATTAAGTCTACTTAATTTATCAAGACATGTTCATGCCCTGATTTTATATACTTGTATCTATCAATAAACATTGTGATACTTGACTTGTTTCTGAATGTCTCCCAGTAGAAAAGCTTTGGACTGGTGATTAGTTCACTTAAGAAAGGAAATATCAGTGGGAGTTGCTTTAGATGGGAGCATCTTGAAATTATTTTTACACTCATTGTCTGAACATGCAGATGAATTCTAAATAAGGTCACGGACAAGATTAAACACTACAGATGTGTTATGACAGGAGAAAAATGATGTAATTCTGCTGAATAAGTGGTAGGGGTTTGCCTTGTGGTCCAGTGTATGCTTTATCAGTGAGTATGTGCTTTTTACCTTGGTAATGCTTTGAGCTTCCCCAGGCCACATGCATGTTTTCAAATTAAATGGCATTGTCTGTTAGCTGCCTGTTTCTCAAATCAGATTGGCAAAAAGTCCCTACAAAGGAGTTCAATGATGTTGCATTGTACAGGCTTGAAATGTCATCTATTAAATACTCAAAATACCTTACTTCTTAGAACCTTGTCCCTAGTGAATTTTTTTTTGTCCTCGCTGATACTCAAGACTTCACCTGTTGCAAGGTGATGTATTTGTTAATGGCAAAACAATACTGTCTCCTGGGTTTGCCAGTGATGGAAGTGCTTTAGTCTATAAACCCTTCTTAACCACTGGAGACAAAGTGGAGCTTTTCTGTGACTGGGAGAGTTGTGCCTTGGAGAGCAGGTCTTGGCTTGCTGTGAAGAGCTTCCCAGGTACAGTCCCAAGCCAGTCCCAAGCCCTGGTCTCTTGCACACTGTCAGCCCGGGTGTCTCAGGGTGCCTCAGTCACTTGCTGTACCAGCTCAGTAAATCAAGGTAGTGTGCTTCCGTAAGCCAAGTGTATTTGACAGGAATTGCTACCACAAGTTCCATGACACTGCACTTTCAGAAATGTGTATGTAGCAGTGAACAGGAGAGCAGGATAGTTCTGTGAAGTCTGGCTCAGGGGAGACAGGAGAGCCCCAAGTGCACTTCGGTGGTTCAAGGTTCAGAGCTGGCTTTAGGTGCAACTCCTGTGTGACAGTGGGAATCACTGGGGCTTCAAAAAAAGTACTTAAAGCTATGGTGTTCCTCCCAGGCATGACAGAGTGATCTGAAATTTATGACTATTTCCTATCTGTAAAGTAATGTTGTCAATGCTGGAACTACTGGCATTGCAGAGTTTGCTCCTCCCTTCATATGTGGTCTCAGGGAGATAAAGGTGGGTCTCAGGTGTATGTCTGCTGTACTCACCAAGGTTCTGCAGTTAAATACAGGATAGGGGTACATAAGTACAGTTACAAGGTTCATCTATTAGGAATAAATTCAGAATAATTCTGTTTTAGAATTGCAGCTTTACTTTGTAGTAAGATGCAGTGAACTTACACATTGTTTCAGCAGCAGGGTGGTGCTCCTCCAAGTTTGTTAGTTTATCTCTAAGTTTTGCTGTTACAGCTCACTGGTTAGTGGTGTTGGCTGCTCTAATACAAGTTTTGTGTGCTTCAGGTGTAGGTTACTAGACAAACAGTGCACTGCATGCCCATGTGCTGTGGAGTTGGAAGTCTGAAGAACCACAGGTCATGAAAGAACAGTCCTAACCAGTAGTTTCCAACTAAATTCACTAGAGGTGGAAGAAAAAGGCAGTAGTAGAAGGATGTGCAAGTAAAACAATTCCTAGTCAAAACTATAGAGTAGATCCAGAACCTGTACCTAAGCTTTTCTGCCAGGTTTTGGAGAAGGTGAAGCTGGCAGCAGCTGTAGGCTGTTGGAGTAGTGTAACTAAGTCTTGTATTCTTGCCCAGCCCAAAATGGAATTACTACAGTCTTCCATACTTGTGCATGAAGGCTTTGCTGCTTGGCTTGTTTATAACTAGTCACTGTGTTGGGAATTCTGTTGGAGAAAACTCCTGTGGGATAGAACAACGACTAAACACACAGAATAGAACATAAACAGTAAAATGCCACTAAACTCTGGGATTATTTACTGCCATCGTGAGACACTTGCAAAGTTTACATTTAGTTAGTGTGATCAGATCTGGGTTCTTGAAACTGGTATAAAAATGGTGCTCGTTGCAGTGTGTATATCCAAGTGGTATTTCCCTAGATAAGGAGATCTCCAACTGCTTGTGGAGTTTTTAGTGCTCAAGTCCAGTGCTGTTGGCTAAGTGATCTGGAACAGGGGATGGGTGTTGGGTTGGTCTCACTTCTGTGTTCTTTCACCTACAAGTTGCATTGTACTTAAAATGCAACTTTTAAATGTACTTTTAAATAGCAAAGTCATAGCAAAATTAAACCAATATAATTGATCAATAATGATGACTTTTATTGATAGTCATTTTTTAAAATGTTAAGGCGTAACTACATTGGCAGGAGAGTGGAAGAAACTGCTATTAAACACATTTCACAGCAGTTCAGTTTATCTTTGAAATCCTGGTCTAGGTTGCAGTTCCCACTCAGGAGCCTTTACTGAACCAACAGTTGTGGGTTGGTTATTGAAAATTACCTGTCGTGGTGAATTCTCACCTGCTCCTAGTGAGTGTCACAGTGGGACAGCTGCTGCCTTGTCCCTCTTTATACCAGTAGGAGACCATCTCCTTTCCAAGCTGCAGGGCTGCTTAGGTATTAAATCTGCGTTTCAGGAGTGTGTTCTGATCACAGAACCATGGAATGGCTTGAAGTGGACCTTAAAAAGTTGCCATGGGCAGGGACAGCTCCCAGTACACCAGGTTGCTCAAATCTCCATCCAGCCTGGCCTTAAACACTTCAGGGATGAGGCAGCCACAAGTTGTCTGGGCAACCCGTTCCACTGTTGTACCACCTTCACAGTGAAGAACAAATATTTTTTTCTAACCTAACCCCGCTCTCTAAGTTTGAAGCCATTCCCCCTTCTCCTGTCAGAAGTCTCTCTTCAGCTCTCTTGCAGAGGAACCTTCTGCAGGCTGAACAACCCCAACTCTCAGCCTCTCCTCCTGGGAGAGGTGTTCTGAATCACCTGATCAGTTCCTAAAAGTCAAAACATCTTCATAACTCTGCACAGGCATTTTTGGGGGAGAAATTTCAGGAAGTCTTATGGGATTTGGAGATGGGTGGGGGGGTTGGGTATGGAACAAAATCTTTGAGTGTGGCTGAGCTGACCTGCTTTTTTAGCAGATGGAAGCTTCCATCTGAATGCTATTTAGATTTGGAGGGATGTTTTCCCCAGAGCAGTGAATAAATCCAAACAATCTGATCATTTCGGCAGAGTCTTGAATAGTTGATGTAAATTTTTAGAACACATCTGAAACAGGAATTATCACAGCGTATGTTGCAATCCAGGCTCGCAGCTGCAGTGACTGATTAAAAAAGTGAGTTTATTGCCAATTCATGCTTATTCTCAAAAATGAGTTCCCAGAGAGCTGGTGCAGTGCAGTGAAGCGGAGGGAGCTCACGTTTACAGGTACCTGAGAAACCTCCTGTTACTGACTGGCTGCTGCAGTGTTTACTTCAAATGCTGCATCTCCTACGTACAATTTTATTTGAATGAATAGGGGAAATGGCAATTAGAGTTCTGGGAGACCAGTGGCAGAATGGGTCATGATGTCATGCAAAGACTGTGTACTCAGTCACCGAGTGCCCTTGGCTGAAGCTTCTTCCCTGCCCTCACATAAATTGCCAGGTCCTTGTAGCTTTGTTGGTGCTGCTTTTTGTCTGGAATGATGTTGGCCAGAGAGCAGAGGTTCACAGCAGATACAGGCTCAGTTCAGGGGTGAGATCTCCTGAGGGGCATATCTATAGCCTGGAACAGCTACTCAGATGTTGCTTCTTCAAAAGCAAACCAGAAATGGTATCTGCAGCTGAGCTCTGAGCTGCAACAGGAAAGGAAAGCTCTAGCAGAGCTGCAGGCATCAGGGTTTAACTGTAATCTAAAGGAGACTCAATCAATACGGCCTTAAAGGTTCTGCATGGTGGTTCTACATCTGCTTCCAGGACAAGATATCCAAGAAAGTTTGCCAATCCTTCAGAAATAGCTGCATTTGTTACTTAGTAAGATACAGACCACTTCCAGTATCTCCCTGGATCCTCTCCTATCCAGGCATTCCAGAATAAGTTTCTCTTCTAAGTGACCAAGAAATCTCTAAAACAGAAGCAGGCCTTTACCTCTGAGAGTCAGGGACACTGAGTAAGACTCCTGAGGTAGGAGCTCCTTGAATAATGTGGCTTTTAAGTGGTGATGCAAAGGGACACAGGCTCGTCTGGATTCAATTTAGAGAGCGCCCACATCCCTTTCCTTTAACGGAGGGGAGTTGGAGACCAGGGAACTGTTATTTTTAATGAGTTGACGAGGCAGCCATGGCAACAGTTACACTTGGCATAAATACATGGCCAGAGTGAGGAAAGCAGCCATCTGAGTGGGATTTTCATCTTCAAATATTTTGCAGTTTAGAACAACGTCAGTCTCACATTTAGTTTTTGTTTATGTTCACAATGGAAGCGTCTGAAGGATCTGATGTGTGAAGTATTCACACGATTTTGTTATCTAAGCAGCTATGCAAAACACTTGAGTTTGTGAAACAAAAAGGGATCTTTAACTGGTTTGATAAAGTGTGTGGAGGATGAAGTTTATAGAGTTCGTTCTGTTAGAAAATGGATGGTTTTTAAGGACAAAGTGAGATTGGAGAAGCGAAGGGTAAATTAGCAAGAACATGGAGTTAAAACTGCAATACAGGTGAAGGCTTGGTCTCCATTTCTGTGGTGATTTTGTTAAACCCTGTAAGAAATGATTGCATATTCATAGGCAGTTGAAGATTTAATCACTTTGGAGTGTAGAATGCTGGGTGACTGGCCTTTCCTGGAGAGGAACCTTGCAGATTTAAATGTTCACAACAATGCTAAATTACACAATCTTAGAGTTCAGTGGGGTAGAGGCTTGATTTCTGCTCTGAGCCAGGGCTGTCATCTGCCTCAGCTCAGGGGCCCGTGGTATCCACTGAAAATACATTTCATTGGAATTGGTCCCCCTAACATTTCTCCCATATAATAGTCAAGTTACAAACCCAAAGTCTAACACACTTTTGTACTGGGAATTTGCCTTCTGGAGCAAATGAACTGTGCAGATTCCTGTGGTGCTGCACTGCCACTGTTATTCAGGATAGGTGCCATCACCTAAATCTAAGGCTGGAGAACCCAATCCGAGCTGCTCCTTTGGAAAGCAGTTGCCTCCACAGCAGAGTCACAAATGAGGCATCAGGTACGTGTTTAGGCCAGCTCTGCATTCTTTCACAGAGGCATAAAGCACGGGAAGGACTTAAGGTCTTGGGCTTTTCTATATTATTTTAAGCTTAGTGGTTTGCTGAGTTAATATTTCAGTTTCTGGGTAACAGGAGAAGCATCGATACTAATCCCCCCTCCCAGTACTGACAACAAACCAGGAACCATCCTGGGGTACAGCTGACATCTGAACCTTAAACAGCCCTGTGAGCCAAACTGGGAAGTGCAGGGCTCTCTCAGTTCCATACCAAGAACACTTCTGAAGCAGGGAGAGCCCCAGCCAGGCTGCTGGAGGAGACAAAGCCATGAGGGGCAGGGGAGGTGCACTGCACTTTTTGGGCTGTAGAGAAATGATTATTCACTTGATCAACACAGCAGTTTCATTTCCTGCTCCAGCGAACGTTTCCATGGTGACCTCCAATTTCCCATAGTTTTCCATCTATGGAATTGATGCAATTTAATTTTCAAGACCATGAAGTATTTAGCTATGATGAAAGGCCATTCATAAATTCCTCGAGATAATTATCTCAGTAGATATACAGTGGGAGTAAGGACCATAATGCAGTAACACCCCAAAACCCCCTCCCTTTCCCTGCAGGTTGGCACATTCCTGCAGAGGCCCACTGGAATCCACTGGGAGTGATTGCAGCAATTCAGGGGCTGGAATGTCTCTGATAAAATACATCAGTTATATAAGTACAGAATAGGCTATTATATCAGCTATCCTTATGGAATTGCCAGTGCAAATTCCATAGTAACCTTCATAAAGGACTGAAGCAGAACTCAGTCCAGAAGTGGGCCAACATGGGAATAATTTGCTATTTTGCTTCTCCTTGAAGACTCTACACACTTAATCTGGTTTGTAAGGGGAAATGTTATTAATTCAAACTCTTCCTTTCCCTCTTACTTTAGAAACAGGCTGCTCCTTGGATCACACGTAAATCTAGGTAACACTGTTATTTCTGACATCCTGTGAGCTTTGGATTTCATCTTTAAATAAGGAACATTCAAGACACTAAATGATCGAGTTGAATCCTGGTAATACAGGTGTTCCCTGTGCAGTAAAGCACACAACCAGCAGCTGAGGAATCAGACCCTGGAAGCACTTACTGGGCTTCCCATAGAACCCAGTGCAGGCACTGGAACACCTCAGGCTTGCACGTGCCAGGCTGAGACCTCTGTGCCACCAGCACTGCACCGATGAAGATAAACACTGTGCACTCACCCCAGAGCCTCTGAGAGCTCCACCTTGATTTCCCAGACACTTTGCTCAGTACTTCACAGATCCACAAGAAGCAATCCTTAAATTTAGGAAGGAAATTTCCTGTGAAGGAAATTTGCTGTTGGTATTCGCTGAAGTAGCAAACCTAAAATCCAATGTGGAAATAAACCTCTAAACGTAACAAAAAACTCTCATAAAAGCAAAAATAAGAAGGGAACTGGTAGATGGATGCCATGCCTGTTTGTGGAAATCTCCCTTTCAGTTCCTCAGTGTGATCAAGGTTCATGTAAACTTGATCCTACTGGATTGTTACTGGGAGGAGACAGAGGGGAAAATTGCATCTAAATTGGAAACTAATTCAAATGAATAACAAAGAAAACATCTGAGCTACTGTTGTGCTGTGTGGGATTCCTCGCTTAACTATCCAAATGCTGAGTGTCTAGACAGCTGTACAGAGAGAAACAGGTTCCTCACAGTGACTCATCCCACCTAACTTAAATTATTACCTTGGGAGGGGATGATTTGCCCTCTGGGGGTGCCAGTCCATGGGCCTCTACAAGGTGTCTAGACTGCTAATTTTTAGATGTCTGAAGATAACTAAAATTCACCTAAATCACCTGGCCATATAACACTGAAATAAAATGTGCCATAATTCTGTATTAACACATAATTGTACTGCACACACACCGTGCTGTCCTTGTTCTGCCAGGACTGGGCACATCTATGTTGTGACACCTGCTGAAGGCACAGCACAACTGTCCCAGAAGAGCAGTAGCATTAACAGGTGCCTCTCGGTTCATCAAGGCTAAGTTTTAAATAGATAGGTTCTGTTTTGATAGGACACTGAAACCCAGTCCCAAACTGCATTGGGGGAACAAGCTAAACCTCCTGCTCCCAGCAATGTTCTATAAATGCCAGTGTCTAGAGATCTGGAATTGCTAGAAGTTCAAATCCTTTGCACTACTCCACCGATTTTCTATTACTTTCATCATTAAAAATTTACACTTTATTTCCTCTTTAAATTAATTCATTTCAACTTTTAGTCTATGAATCTTGCCTTGCTTGTGTTGGTAGAGGAAAATTTAGGAATATGATTGATCCAACCCTAAATTTCAATCTAATTTTCAGTATTAGATTGATTCATCTTTGGAAAGGAAATTTTAAAACCAATATGGGAATTTTCTCTATAGAGCACCTATGGTAACCCATTTCATTACCATTTTAAATTTAGATATGTGACCCGTAAGATCTGATGCAGGAAATACATCTGTATGGGGGAAAAAAAGACAGCAATACACATCATGAAAATCTTGAGCAAAACATCTCCCAGGGTCTCTAAAATTAATATTTTTAAATATCGCCTTTCAAATGCTGATTTTATCAAACTATTAATCATTATATACAGATTTATTTTGTCTTTTTGTTTTTCCTTCCTGATTTTTCTACTTCTGGATACTTCAGGAGTTTTTCCAAAACATTGTGTTTCCACATCTATAACCCACATTCCTTTCCCTTCTCTCCTTTGCTCTATCCAAGGGTTTCTGCCTTTCAGCCCTCACATCCCCTGCAGCCTCTTCAGCTGCTGCTGCCCGTACTGTGAGCCCAGGGGAGACAACTGTTGTGAAATCTGGAACCACCAGAAAGGAAAAGAAATGCACACGTGCTTCTCCACTCATCACCTTGTAGATGTGCAATCTCCCTCCTCATTTTCCATCTTAACCGTTCGAAGATGTGAGATGAGTCCAGCGAAACCTAAACCCAGAAGGTTTGAATTAGAAATCTTGACACATAGTAAAATTCTGGTTTGTTTTGATTTGCTTTTCCCCTTTTGTATCTCTGGGGGACTGTCCTTCAGACATCCAGACTTTTCACTGCAGCCACAAGGGCTGCAAACAACCCAACAGAAAACCCCAACCAAGAACAACAAAACAGAAAACCCCAAAACACTGAACAGTGTTAGTTCTTCTCATTCTTGCAGGTGAGGTTTAGCAAAAGCACCAGGTAAAACAAGAACTGGGATCAAACAAGGTGGCAATACTGGATACAGAAGCTTGATGCTCTTCTTCTCAGGCTTTAATCAAAAGTAACTTCTATGAAGCAGACAGTAAATAAAGAAGTCTTCTAATCTGACAAAATTCACTAGATTTATCAATATACTGATACCTTTTAATTAAGGCACTTACTTGCCTTTAAATTTAGATTTTTCCTCCCCTGATTCTTTTCATGCTCTACATTACTGTTTTCAAAGATAACTTTCTTCATTATTCCATGCAGCCCATGAGCTACTTAGAGCACACAAAAGGAAGTATATGCCACATGTTGGTTGCCACTCCCAGCAGAGAGATGCAAACCAGAAGGGTTTCTGCTTTCAGAAAAAGAAATGTACTGGCTATGGAATAACCAGCCCTGCTGAACCTTTTCTCCTATACCCCAAGTTGTAACACTAGCTCATTTTAGTCATGTCAGATTTACTAATTTTTAAAAAGAGATCATAAAAATGCATCCTCTGAACTATTAATAGAAGCAATGTCTGCATTTGTAGCAATTAACAGCACCATAAGACAGTTGACCAGGGAGTTGACAACAAAGATGATTACAATTGGGCATTAAACTAAGCCAAACTGGAAGGTAGAGGGAAGGATACTAAATATTAGGATAATATTAGGAGATACAATCATTGGACTGCATTTAATGCAGTTGTGGTTCACTGATTGTGAGATCTGTGACCCTGCAGGTTTGTCAAGAGAAACATTTCCAAATAACCCCCAGAACAGAATCTATGTCAGGACCTACCAGGTGTTTGAAGGCAGAGCATTCTTGGTGTGAAGTCCCCACCTCTCTGTTCGCCTCTAGGTTCTTCTTTTAAACTGTCTCAGTTATGGGCTGCCTCCTTTTTCTCTTGAAAATGCTGCTCCTGGTCATGAGCTTCTGCCCAGGATTTCTCCACCTCTGCTAAGGGTGCAGCACAGCTCTGCTTCCCGCTGGGAAGTGCACAGCTTTGGCCTCAGCTGCAGGACATCCAACGGAGGAGATGTTCTATAACCCAGCCTCGAGCACAGCTTGAACACTGAGCACAGGTTCTGCTTAGTTGGGCAGCTCCTTCCAGAAATTCTGAAAGAAACATCTGACCTGGAACATTTGTCCTGTCCCTGCTGTTACTTCGGTGTGATGGAAACCCTTTGCAGCAGCCACCTCCGAAGGGATTTGGAGCCCTGCCAGTGCCAATAGCAGAGGAACTGGAACCTTTCTGGTCTGAGTTCCCTCAGGCACCACCTGTGCTTCAGGGCACAGGGACATCTCTTCTCTTTCCCCTCTACACTAGAAAAGCTCACTACTCTCACAGAATTATCACACATTAAATTAGCTCAGTCTCCCAGGGATTTACAAGTTGGTCACTTATCCGTATTTCTGGATTTTGAGAGGATTTTTTGTGGGTTTTTGGTTCTGCATCCCACACTCACCCTCGCTCCCACCACCGATGATTGCTCTGTGGTTGTTTTGGTTTTGTTTTTTTTTAAACAAATCATCACAGGGAAGTTTTCCCAAACAAAACAAATGCATGTGATTATTTGGCAACCTCAGGGATTGTGCAACTACAACCACAGCCCATGCTGAAGCTCTCCTGGAGATAGCGATTAATTGCCCACAGAAAATACTCAGTAAAAGCAAAGCAGCTTCATAGCAGTTTACTTAAGACAGGAATTGAATCAAGGCCTGCCTGGCCAAAACCCAGCCCCTCAACATGGGGATCAACAACAAAGATCGGCTTTTAGCAGTAAAGGTTTAATTCTGTAAGACAATTCTGGCCCTAATTTGTTTGCAAGTCATACTCTTGGCCAGGCCCTTCGACCTTTCTACTAGTAAAGTTATGTGTTTATAACCTTCTCTTTTTAAATTAAACCATTCAAAACCAAAATCAGATCATTTTCACTACTTTGTATTATGAAGGTGGAGAAAGAGGCTGTGGTTCTATTACTAATCAAGCAACAACATTTGCCATTTTATAATCAACTTATGCTCCAAGGACCTTGTAGATCAGACAAAAATCCTGTACAACTCAGTAAGAAATCACCCTGGCACAAAACAGCTTCAATTCTCTTTGAGTCACACAAACTGTGAAAGGGGAAAAATGATTGCTCCTTGGCAGATCGGTGTCAATGAGAACATGACACATGAAATTCAGTCCTCCTGACTGTGGTGGGTTGACCCTGGCTGGACACAAGGTATCCACCAAAGCCACTCTCTCACTCCACTCTGCAACTGGACAGAGGAAAGAAAATACAACTAAAGGTTCATGAGTTGATATAAGGACCAGGAGAGATCACTCACCAATTACTGTCATGGGCAAAACAGACTCAAAATGGGGATATTAATTAAATTTATTACTGACAAATTCAGAGAAGGATAATGAGAGATAACATAAAACTTAAAAACACCTTCCCCCCACCCCTTCCTTCTTCCCAAGTTCTACCTCCACCCCCCGGCAGCACAGGGAGATGGGAATGGGGGTCATGGTCAGTTCATCCCCGGTTGTTTCTGCCACTGCTCAGGGAGAGAGTCCTTTCCCTGCTCCCATTGAGGGTCACTCCCACAGGAGATAGTCCTTCATGAACCTCTCCACTGTGAGTCCATCCCATGGGCAACTGTTCTTAACAAACTGCTGCCACGTGGGTCATTTTTCCAAGGGGTACAGTCCTTCAGGCACAGGCTGCCCCGGTGTGGGTCACAGGGCCACAAGTCCTACAGGAAAACCTGCTCCAGTGTTGGGTTCCCTCTCCATGGGTCAGCAGGTCCCTGGCAGGACCTTGCTCCAGCATGGGCCCTCCACGGGGTCACAGCCTCCTTTGGGCATCCAACCACTCTGGCATGGACTTCTCCACAGGCTGCAGGTGGAACCTCTGCACCTGATGGTCCTCCATGGGCTGCAGGGGCACAGCTGCCACACCATGGGCTGCACCACGGGCTGCAGGGGAACCTCAGCTCCAGAGCATGGAGCACCTCCTCCCCCCACTTCTGCACTGACCTGGGGGTCTGCAGAGCTGTTCACATGTTCTCACTCTGCTCTTCTCTGGTTGGAATTTTTATCTGCCCAATAACTTTTTTTCCTTCTTAAATATGTTATCCCAGAGGCATTACTGTCATTCCTGGTTGGCTTAGCCTTGCCCAGCAGCAGGTCCATCCTGGAGCTGGTTGGCATTGGTTCTGTCAGACATGGGGGAAACTTCTGGCAGCTTCTCACAGAAGCCACCCCTGTAGCTCCCCCACTACCAAAACCTGGCCACAGAAACCCAACACGCTGATGGACAATTTGGATCCCACCTCTTTGCCTACTGTGCTTTCTTACACCGAAATCAAAGACAAAAATGTACAAGAACAGTAAGAAACACAACATCCCTTTTGCTGGAGTAAAGCAACAGGGCATTCTGCAAAAGTACAGTTGAGGGTAACTGCTGCTGTTTGCAGGCAATTCACCCAAAGATGACAAACAACTTAAAACTTGCAGTTCTTTATCACTGAGAATCATTTATATGAAAAGTACCACCAACCTTTCACTTAGGTACAAGCCTCACTGCAGCCAGCTGAGGTGAGCCTTGGGTTCTGAGGATTACACCACAATCAGATTGGACTGGACAAATCCACTTGGATCCATGATGCAGAGGCACCATGGCAGTTGAGAGAAGCAGTCAAGGCATGTTTTTCTCCTCCTGCTCCATTCAAACTTTCCATTAGGAATGCACAAAACTCCACTGATAATGCTGCTGCTTATACAAGAAAGTACCTCTGCAACTGCAACCATGGAGTGCTGCTTGTACGTCTGAATGATGTTATGTCTCTAGATTAAGGATTTAATGTTATATTTTTTCTATTTTTAATGTATATTTCCACTTGATTTTCCTGCTACTCTCTGGTTTTACAGCTGGATAGATGGATAGTTCTTGCACACCTGCTAAAAAACCAAATATATCCTTTTCCTGCACAGTTTAAAGGCAACAGAAATTGAAACAGTCTTGGGCAAGGTGAGTGTCTCTCGGGGCTTTACTTATAAATAAGTGAGTGCAGAGCAAAAGGTAACCAAAGTAAAAGATCCAAGTTAGAAATACAGAGAACCAAGTAATTAAGGATCAAGACTGTAAATAATATCTATTTTAAGCGCTAATCTGACACATAATTATTTTTTCATTCCTTTCTTACCCCTTCCAGTAATGGCATTCTGTTTATATGGCAACACCTTACAACCATAACTCAGGTAATGCCTGTGCAAACCTTGAGCAACCCAGACTGCAGAGAGAAACAGGGAATGCTCCAAGAGTTATGAGTTAAGCCTCCTGCAGTACGTGCCCGTTCCCCTGATGCAGTGACCATAAAAGAGCTGCATGAAGATGAGAGGAACTTGTCTATGTGAACACCAGGCAGAAAGCCCAGTGCACCCAGGTATCCATCCAGGGCAATGCCTGTTACTGTCTAACCAGCACAGTCTTCATCTGCAAGGAGCATTTAACAGAAATTCAGCTTTAACTGATAATAATCTGAAAGAGAAAATCTGACCAGAAGTAGCAGCTCTGGCATTGAAAGAAATATTCCAACTTGTAGGTCCTCAGGACAGTGAACAAGAACTGGTGTTAGGACATCACCTAAAGCAGCCAAATATGCCCCAGGAGCAGCCCATACCCACCATTAAGCATGAGTATCCTTAACAAGGATGTCCCTGCTGCAGTTCAGAAATACATGTGCTGGAGGTTAAAAACATATGGACCTGGAAAGCCAAGATCACTTTGACTAAAGTCACCAAGTTGAATTTGTGCATGAACATGCCTCGTTCCTGCAAACCCAAATGAGACATAATTCCCTCTTTCCTTTTTAGTACAAGAAAATAGCTGCTGACAATAATTCTTCCTCTCCAGCTGGTCTGGGACAGCTTCCCACAAGAAAAAAGAATGTTACCTTTTGCTTAGACAGATTCCCATGAGAATGAGACATGTACTAGAATAATTTAGCTCAGCATAACAAATAGACAGAAGAGTCTGTTTAGAGCAGTTCAAAATCTATTGAAAGCTGGAACAAAACAATTATCTGTCTTTAAAGACTGGAGATGGGTGAAAGGATGTTTCATATTCTCTGAGGCATCTTCAAAAATGGTAGTAAACTGTCATCAGTGCAAGGCAAGACTGGTATTTATTAGTATTTATTAGTATTAGCCCTGCTTAGAGGAGTCTGTTGGTTCAGCAGTGCCTGTATAGCCAGAACCTTCAGGTGCAAAGGTGAGAAGACTCCAAGAACAGTTTCCTCTGAATAGACCTGTGGAACCAGACAGAGGGAATATAGCATTGCATAAGCTTCTTCTTAAACTACAACCTCCTCTGTCCTAGCGGTACAGAATGAGCAGCCAGCAAAGACTAAGCTCTCTACTAGTACCTGTGTGTCCTAAATTAGAAGGTCACTTCTGCATTAGCAAAGGAGTCTAAACCAGACGTTCCACACTGTATCTGTCACTGAAGATACACTGTGTAACCAAGTCAACTGCACCTTTGACAGGAGGCCCTAAAAACCAGAGTGGACCCACGATATTCCTCCATGTGTCCAAGAATGCTTTAGCTGTTGCAGTTAGCACATGGGACTTGCACAGCCTTAAAGAGAGGCAAGATTTACCTGCTGAGAACTCTGAAGGGCTCAAAAATGTTTTAAGAGCCAGAGCGTTGCCTGGACCCTTCCAAGACAACAGAAAACACCCGTGAAGTCACTGCCACGTGATACTCACTCTCAGGTGCCACACAAAAAACCCTAAAGCTGGGTATTTGTATTTTAATCACCATGGGTGGGAATGTATGAAATCCTTGTATGCTACTGAGCCAAACAGCACTTATGGAGTTCAGGCAACACTAGAACAGTGTTGGGGGCATCTCCTAACAGGCAGATACAGGGACACGTGCAAGATAAGCTTTTATCATTTCAAATGGAGCTGTAAGAGAACAGTAAACTCAATCAAGGGTGCCAGTGACACTCTGCAGTCCAAACACTCAGCAAGTCCCAAGATCTGGAGGCTGCAGAGAAAGGGAAAGTTTTTGCCTAAGGCCAAAGGACATATTAAAAAGGGGCAGAGAACAACCCAGAGGCACAGGTCTA